CGTGTTTACTCAACACGGCAGCGATGAGGAGGGGGAGACAATCATATTCACGAGCTGTGTCAGACCATAAAAGAATGACCTAATCCAATTCCACTGGTATTCCCTCAATCACCTTAGAATGAGCGCCGAAAACCATCTTTAATAAAGATGGATTTTCGGCGAACAAAAAGGGGGGCAATGTGGAAACCTGGATATAGGTATCTTCCTAACGGTACTGACGCACATACAACCAGTGAAGATCGGAGACCCTACGGACACAGTTCTACAGGTCTGCAGATGTTTACAAAGAAAGAACCTCCGCCTGCTGTGACCAGCCGGAGCATGAGGGAGCCCACCAAGGCTCACTCTCTCACCTTTCACCCTAGCAAGGCTGACTAACGTCAGCCACGCTTGGCCATTCCTTGCCACATTGCAATAAGAGCGAAATTACCTCCGCTGGTGAACGGTTATTCACCACTTCAGGGACCTTGGCTCATAACGGAGCAAGGGTATTCTCAGAACCGCAAAAAAAATTGCGCCGCCAATTTTTCAATAATCGTCGCACATCACACCAACGGCCGCGCTCACGCGCTGCCCCAAAGACTTCGTGGTTCACGCCCGATGTCATTTCAGCTACGCCCTAAGCCGCTGGAGAGCATCAGGGCAGGCTTGGCTCAACGTGGTGGTGAGCTTCTCAGTGTAAAGCAAGTGCAGGGTGCCAAACAGTATCGGTTGGAGGTGACAGCGGACCTGGGCGGAGTCACCACGCGTTGGCGCACCGACTGCATCAAGTATCCGAAGTCCAACAAGAAGGCCCGTGACTGGGCGGCCGAAGCGGCCCTCGCTGCTGTCTGGCGGCCATCTCATTGTGACCGCTATACCANTTGTCTGGCGGCCAACTGATTGTTACCGCTATGCCACACTCTCGAAAGACACGAGCAAAGTCGAACCGGCGCCTCCAAGAACCAAACGGCCACGAGACTGCTGTCAGCAAGATCTTTCTTGCGGGCGCGACCACTGCCACACACCACCTGCAAAGCGTGCTGCACCTGCAGGGGCTGGCCGACCGAAGGGAAGCTTCGGCCGGAAGAGGTTGCATGAGATGATGGCAACATACAAGGCGCGCGTGGAGCAAGGCCAGCTGGAGTTTGCTGACATGCATGTGCGGGACCTCTCCACCGCGATGTTGGATGCGGCGGTAGAAGTGGACAAACATGAGGATGTCTGGCGACCGGCATTCCTCAAGCGCCAGAGCAACAGGGGTGTGCGAAGGGCAGAGGCTCTGCGCAAGCTCGCAAAGCATAGATCGCAGCTGGAGAAGGCAGCCGAACCTGGGACGTGGAGACGCAGCCGAGGGACAGGACGGAGGACGGACGTGTTTGGGTCTGCGTGCATGCCTTCGCTGAAACTCTCTCCGAGCTCCACCCGGATCTACGAGCGAGAGTCACGAGCAAGAAAGAGTACGCCGATGGCAGAAAGGCAATATTTTTCTACCAGGACGTGTGCATCTACAGGGCCAACGACGGGGAGCGTATGGGGTGGTGGCCGCCGACGATGCACGGGCTGAGAAAGAAGGGAGAAGGACAGGGCATCATGATTTCCGGCACCATCGTGGGCGACATTGGATTCGTCGAGGGCACTCAATCAAGAGGACATCGACAAGACCCAAGATCTGCGGCGTGAGCGCTGCCGCATTTCGAAGGAAAAACACGCTGCAGGTGATCAGACCAGGCCTGAAAAGTACCGCGACATCAACATGCACTACTTCGAGGGCGAGGGCGACGACCGCAAGTTCTCGACGTACTACAAGTTCGAGTACGGCAAGAACAAGGAGGGCTACTGGACGGGGGAGAAGATGATCGAGCACATGGCGGATGTGTTGGATCTGTTGGCCGTCAAGTTCCCGAACTACAAGCCCATCTGTTTTTTCGACTGGTCATCGTGCCATGATTGCGTTGAGGAGGGGGCACCGAGTGTATCTAGAATGAACGCGGGGTACGGGGGGGTGAGAAAAGGGCAGGATCTAGCTCCTCAGAATGCTACCACCATACTGGAAGACACACCCACACTCAAGAAAGGGGCAGTGCAGCACCTCACCTTCCAGCAGGGAGAGTACCCATTCTATGAGCCAGACGCCACCGATCACGTAGGCAAGGTCAAGGGGATGAAGCAAATCCTGTTTGAGAGGGGGCTTTGGATCCCTGGGATGACCGTGTTGGGGGGCAAGAAGGGTCAGGAGCCTAACCCGAAGATGAGTATGCCGGCGGTGTTGCGCACGCAAAAGGATTTCGCGAACGTAGACTACCTCTTGAAGCGCCGCGGAGGGGTTGCGCTCATGCTTCCAAAATTCCATTGCGAGTTGAACCCGATCGAGCTTGTGTGGGGTAGATCCAAGTGGTGGGTCCGCAGGAACTGCAA